ATGGATGGACCTAGAGACTATTATGTTAAGTGAAATAAGTCAGTCGGAGAAAGACAAATACCATATGATTTCACTTATATGTGAAATCTAAAAAACTGAATGAACGAGTAAACTAAACAGAAATAGGCTCAGAGATATAGAGGAAAAACGGATGGTTGCTAGTTGGGAGGGGGGTGGGGATGAGGGAGAAGGAGAAGGGATTAGACAGCATAAATAGGTAACTACAATATTGCTACAGGGATATGAAAGACTGTTCGGGATATATAATTAATAAGGTTGTAAATATTTTGTAGGGTGTCAGATGGTCACGTCTTGTTAGGGAGACCACTTCATGGATGGGGTAGAGGCTTGATCACTGCACTGTACACCTGAAGATGATGTTGTATAATATTATATGTCAACTATAATTGAATATATATATAGTCATGGGATGTTGAGTATAGTGTGGGAGTGGAGTCAATGCAATTGTAATAGAGATGTATGATATGGCGGGGTGGGGCCGCGGATTGGGAGAGGGAGGGCACTTTTAGGGGTAAAAAGTATAACTATTGCACTGTGTTGTACACCTGAAACTAAACTAAACTAAAACAAAACATAAAAAATGATTGACGTATTTAGTGACCTATAATACACATTATATCTTTATTGTTTTTCAGCTACAGTTAGAGGATGACCAAGGTGTGAATTTGGGCCTTGAGAGTAGCTTAACACTCAGACGCCTCTTGGTTTGGACATACGATCCCAAGATAAGACTGAAGACCCTTGCAGCCCTAGTGGACCACTGCCAAGGTTGTTTTGCGTCTCATGGACTTGCTTTATTTCAAAGCAGGTTTTAGGGAATATCATCTAGGTTTATTTTTGTGCCTTTTCTTTTGTATCCTTAATAGCCGTAAGTATGCTGATTAAATTCAAATTAATAGATATGAACTTATAGGGGAAAATAACCAGTTACCAAACTGGCCCAGTATTTATAATTGGGGAAGCTCAGGATTTCATTGGAATGAAGGAAGAAAGGGGGAGGTTTTTAAAGATTTCCCTTTTTTTTTGTAGTCCTCCATGTTCCAGCTACTTATCTATATTCCTCTTTTACTTGTCTCTTAACCAGCAGCCTTTCCTAGAGTTTCATTCCTCCCGAGATTATGGTCCATGTTGGGTTCACCAGCTATATGTTACACGTTCCCATGTTTGCATCTCTGGTTGAGGCCTCTCCTGGGCTTTTGGTCTTTATTTCTAGTTGCCTTCTGAACCTTTTTTCTCACTATTTGTACTATCTTGACCAAAAACCTTTTTCCCCCTTCATTTGTAACATTAGGACACTAATAGTCTGTACCTGTTAGGACTATTGGTACTAAATGAGATGTGAGAAGCCAGTGGTCAGCCCATAGTTCATGGCTCAGTGTTCACTGCCTTCCAGTGCTATTGGACGATTCATAAGGACCAGAACTTCGGCATGTCTAAATTCAAGTTAATCATGTCATTCCCCCACCTCCTGATACTTGTTCTCAAAAAAAGAAGTTGGACACAGTGAATAAATATCCCCTTTTTTCCAATTACCAGCAGTCTCCCATAATTGGATTCTTACCAGATTCCTTTATACTCCTCCTAATTTCCACCATCTCTTTCAGTGTCCACTTGGCCACTCAAGTCCTGGTACCTCTGACTCGTTCAGATGTCTCAAATCACTGCCTCTTCCAAATCAGTGTCCTCACACAGGGCACTTTGAATCCTGTTCTGTTTCTCCTCTATTCTGCACTATTGTGGTAACCTGCTCACTGACTGTCTTCATTCTCACCCACCTCCATTTTTGTGCATACTCACCGAAAGGATCTTATTAAAATTAGATCACATTAGTCCATTTCTTAAAATCTTTCAGCAGTCTAATAAAATCCTGAATTCTTAACATAAATTCTTCATGTGCTTATATTTTTGGACCTGATTTTTACCATTCCCAATACATCTTACTGAGTTATGCTCCAAAGATACAGCGGAATATCTCAATGTGGAGCAGTGTTTTTCACACTAAGTTGAAACCAATTAATGGGTTATGAAATCAGTTTAGTGAGTTGAGACTAACATATCAAAAGAAAAAAGGAAATATTAAAGTGTAAGTATTATTTTGTAAAACTTTTACTTTTTATATGTAATTATTGGTATACTGGATTGCAATATTAAATGTGAATCTTAATGTGTATCAGAGTCAAAAAAGTTGAAAACTCATGTTGTGGGTCATATAGCAAGTCAAGTTTTTTGCTACTGCAAAACTCCATAGTGTGAGTGACGCTCTCACACGTGAAGCCAGGGGTAGACTTGCTCTTGTGGCTCCTGATCTATGACATGTTTACTGCTGCTTCTGTGTCCAAAGTGGTACTGAGAAAACAAACACACTTTATTTCAATTACTTGGCCATTTTGGTTAGTGTTAAGTTATTGGTTCCTACTGTGAGTCTAAACTTGGGTATTTTTCATGTATTTCCCTTCAGGAAGGAAGGGAGGTGAGCTTGCCTCAGCCGTCCATGCCTACACAAAAACGGGAGACCCGTACATGAGGTCCCTGGTGCAGCACATTCTCAGCTTAGTGTCGCATCCTGTCCTGAGCTTCCTTTACCGTTGGATATACGACGGGGAGCTCGAGGACACCTACCATGAAGTAAGAAATGCTACTCGATTCTCAGACTCGGGTTTAAGGAGCATGGGCACTCAGTTACTCTGTTTTGTTTTTCCATGATTACTATTTTCTCTTAACAGTAAGCCACCACACTTCATTTTATTGCCATGCATATTTTGTACACTGCTTTGAAAGCCAATTATATCATTGATCAGCAGAGCTGTATTAGCAGAAAATTGCTATTCCAATTTTAATAGTGGGAAACTCAGATGGTCAAGTCGCTTGTCCAAATTTACTAGCTATAGCAAGTTGATGGCAAAGCCAGGGCTAGGTCTCCTAAGTCCTAGTCCAGTTTACCTTGCAGAACAGTATCACATGTTCTGTTGCTTTGCATGATTACTGTATAAACTAAACTCACTTTGATTAACTATGGCACTAACAATTTGAATGAAACAAGTTAATTGTATATGTACCTATTGAAATAGTTCTGCTATAATGCAACATATGTATTCCTAAAAAAAAAAAAATCACTGCTATGTATGTAAAATTACAGAGTAAAAAAACCACAGGATTTCTGGCAAAATGTAGAGTGAAGAGGCACCACATTCAAAAACCTTGTCAGTGACATTAAATTTAAAAAGTATAGGAACTTAATAGAAGTTATAGCACAGTTTTAAACATGTTAAGAAATACATATATTTTAGAATAAATATGGCATATACTTTGAAAAGCCCTGATGTTGTCTGTTGACATTTGCCAAAGGAGGCTTATCTAAAATGGAACAGAGGGTTGTGGCTGGGTTGCTGTTTTCACCTGGTTTCTCGTGGATGAAATTGCACTTAAGCAGTCATGAAATTTGTGTTATACTCAAATTGTTTTCCAATGATCAGTTGTGCCATGACAAGTTGTTTTAAAAACAAGCATGGCAGCAGAACCAAGCATATATGGTATTATTTTGTGGGAGCTTTTGAAACACATAAATGGCATTCTATGTGCATATTGTACGTACTGTGCAAGTCGCTCAATGTCTTGTAGCTCCTCCTATGACAGTATTATAGTTGTACTTTATTATTGCATATTATTTCACTGTATAGACAGACATTTTATTTAGTAACTCTCCTATTGATGAAGATCATGTTCTCTGTAGTTTTAAGCCTTACGAACTTTATTAAAATGCACATCCTTATATGTGCCTCTCTGTGCATATTTATGAGTTTCTCTAAATTTTGATTCTGCCATTTGAGCTCTGCAGTGGCTCTACCAGTTTTCCCAACAATAAGCTTTCTGTTATGGTTCTTGTTCTTCCATCCTTGTCAGCACTTCATATTACCCAACTTCAATGAAAGTGTTTTTAACCTAATGTATGAGATTCAGCATCTCCTGTGGTATTTATTAGCATTTCGCTGGTTACTAGGGAGATGCGCCAGCTCTTATGTTTATTGGCTATTAGTATTTTTTCGGCTAATTGCTGTGCGTATCTTTGCCCAGCTTTCCTATGGATTTGTCTGTCTGTTTAGAATTGAATCATGGGATGGTTTTATACATTTGGATATCTTGTATCTGTAATTGCACTTTTTTCCTTTATTTTTCTTTTAACTATTTTCACAGTATTTCAGACTTAGGAATAGTTGTAAGAATAGTACAAAGAATCATACTCTTGACAGAGATTCCCCAAATGCTGTGAAAGGCCTCGGCCCCGCCCTCGCGGAACTTACAGCTTCCTGAGGGGCAGACACTACCCAATATTCAATAAATAAAATGTTAAATAATTTTATTTATTAATGTTAAAATAATACAATGTTAGTTTTGCAACACTTTATCTTATAGTAAATTTTCATATATACCAGTCTGCTTCTGGACTATTTCTTTCTGACTTTTATATTTTGTTTGCTATTTATTTCTCAATATTATTTAAATAATCATAACTTTATGATTTATACCTGATTGGAACAGTTGTTTTCACAATATTTTGTAGTTTTTGCACATTTCTACTTAAATATGCATTTAGAATCAGCTTGTAAATTCTCCCAAAAGTTTTTTTTTATATTTGTAGGGAATGCAGATTGAATTCATAGATTAAAAAGAAATGTTTTTATGCTTTCTATGTTCCTTTTGTTAAATGAGTTATTTAAAAAATATATGAATAGAAAGCTTTGGAAGGGATTATGTTTTCAATTCATTAATGGTTACCTTTAAGTTTTTCAGAACTTTCTTTAACCTGTATCTTTCCAAATGCTAAAGTCAAGAATAACCAGTTGTCTTTAATCTGCTCCTGCCATTAAGATAAGGAATTCTGTATTTCCCCCAGTGCATTGCACTTAATCTCTGTAGTTTTTGCTATATATATTTTTATTATTTTCAGTTTTTTTATATGCAATTTATAAAAATTGCCTTCTTTTTCTAGATTTTAATTTGTTTTACTTTGCCTTTAGATTTGTAACAGTTATTTAGACTTATATCTCTTATGTTTAACTGGTATTATTCCTTACACCAAGCTCAATTATAATTTCTGTTATTGAGACAGACGTAAGGAAAAGTACACAAATCATAAGAGTAATTAATGCTTGATGTCTTATTACAAAATGAGCCACCGTCTAGGTCAGGATGGCACCTTATCAGTATGCCCATTGTGTGTCCCTCCCCAGTCACTGCCCCCTTTCTTATCCCTAAAGGTGAACACTTAACCTCACTTCTAACACTGTAGTTAGTTTTGTCTTATTTTAAATTTTATGTAAATTGAGTCAGATTTTGTATATGCTAAAATGCATTTTACCTCCTGTCTGTGGGGAAATGTCCTTCGTATTCATTGTAATTAAGTATGTATCTTTAGTTTCAGATACTATTTCTGGAAAGTGCCGTAAAGTCATTTATTTAATTAGAACTTTAAATCAGATTTAGTTTTTGAATATTAAATGGAGACTTGAATTCTTGTACAATTCAGTTTTTTATCCATCGTCACTGTTATGATAAGGAAACTTTTAAGTAATCTTTTTCTTTGATAGAGTGAAACTTGTCTTTTTTAACTCATTTGAGGTCTGTTCTTTAATTACAGAATGAGGTGAGTTTTGGAAGCTATTTAAAAAACCTGTTTAATTGATTATTTACAATGCTTATTAAATATCCTGACTGTTATTACTATAGGAAAAATGGATTAGGAACTTGTCATTTATGAGCTTTAACAAGTCTAAACGATCTTGTGGTTGTTAAGAAAATGAAAAAAATAAATGTTCTTTTTAGGAAGTATTTTTTTAATATTATAATTTGTATATGATGAGCCATGCTTACTGCGTAAATTAATGAGAAGTAGCTTGACCAACTTGTAAACCTGAAATAAAAAGCCACAAACTGGCTAATTGTCCTTTTATAAGTTTAGTACCTAATTTCTACTTCCGTTGTTTTCTTTCTTGAGAATAACTTAGTTTTCATTTTCTAACAACTATGTTTTGAAAGTAGACCTTAATTATCACTAATTCATTATAGGCATCTGTGTTTTAAAAAATAGTTTTAAAAGTACTGCCAATTCTTTATTGATTGTCTGCCTTGTGTGTTATTCAGGGTTATTTATTTATTTATTTATTTATTTATTTATTTATTTATTTTGTTGATAATAATTGTGGGACTTGATGGGAAATGTAGAGAGAATTGGGTACAAACTTTAAATTGATTTTCTTCTAGGATTTTTTCTTTACTGTTTTTGAACATTGATTCACTGAGGTAAACAAAAGCAAACTCTTTTTTTTTTTTAAGATTTTTATTGGGGAATTGGGGGGATGGGAACAGTGCTAGGGAATTGGGGGAAGGGGAACAGACAAGTTGCTGTCATTTTTGTTCTTCAATCTAGTTGTGGAGGATGTTGCTTCACTGGCCCAAGTTGGCACCGTCATTGCGCTCTTCCCAGGTGAGGCAGATCAGTCGCCGGGCTTCTGGACGGCCGCTCACTGCGGCTGCTGGCCGCTCACGCTGGCTGCTGGCTACATATGGTAGCCCATGGCAACCCACTGCCACAGGGGCTGCAGCCTACGCCGTCGCCGGCGACCCATGGCAACCCAGCTCCAGGTTGAGCTGTTGTTCAGCATCTTAGCTGTAGAAGGCAGTGTCACTGGCCCTCATATGTGGGATCCGAACCGGGGCCCTCTGGCATCCCAAGTGAGTTCTTAACCATCCCAAGCGAGTTCTTAACCATCGCACCACTCGGCCGGCCCAAAAGCAAACTCTTTAAGACTAATGTAACTTAAATTTGGGAACTTCTTTTTGATGAACTTTTGTTTCTCAGAATATGTGTAAGGCAAACTTTCAGGTTTTATTTATTTAAAAATAAGCTACGAAGTAAGTATCCATGTCTGTTGAATACAGTGTTAGCATTAGTAGCTGAAATGATCACTTAACAAACTTTCTCAGATCTTGCCTCATTGGTAAAGTTATTTATTTTTAAATGTTTTTATTTAATATTAGACTTCTGGAAAAGTTGCAAGAATTATACAAAACATTCCCAGGTACTCTTTCCTCAGCTTACCTGGATGCTAACATTTTACCACAATAAATGTATCTTTTTGTAAATTTTTTGTTGGCTAGTATTGTGCTCAAATAGTCCTTAATACCCCCAGATGTTCTTGTTTGCTTCACTAGTTTTGCTTGTGGGATTTTTAAAAAATGCATTGTGATTGATAGAGGTAAAATTTATCCTTCTTGACATAAGGTATTTTATATTCTTTGTCATGTCAACGTTGCTCAAGCAGTAGTTCGCCATCTGCATTTTGTGCCATGGACCCTAAGCCAAGAAACGCCCAGTTAGAACAAAACCTACAAGAAAAGTAATAAACTGGTCCTGATACCATGGAATAGAGCTTGTTTTCTGTAGTTATCAGAAAATGTGAACGTCCATCTCTTTCCTGTCTCAGAATTGGTGGAATACAGGTCAGATGTGGGGCCTGGAACCATTTCTTTTTTCATTTGGTTACTATCTAGGGAAACTATCATTAGGACTTTAAGTAGCTCACATGGGTTCTCTCCCAAGTAAACTGAGTAAGGTAACAAATTATGCC